TATTCTGAGACTGAGCTTCTCGGTATTAGGATTGACATCCGATCACACTAATCACGATGGCAGATCTCACGAATATGATTGGAGGGCTCGAGAAATTAAACCACCACAATTATGACGACTGGCGTTCATGCATAGAATTGTATCCGCAAGGACAAGACCTCAGTGAGGTCGTCAACGGCAACAAAATTGCCACACCAGCAGGAGAGAATACCGACGAGCTGCGACAATGGCACATCAAGGCCGAGAAAGCCATGTTCGTGCTAAAGACATCATTTATAAAGGAACTGTTGAACGACATTCAAGAGGCCAACACTCCGAAGGAAGCCTGGGATATGTTAGCCACATTGTTTGCCAAAATAAATAATGCTCGACTCCATTTTCTGGAAAATGAGCTTGGATCGGTGTCACAAGGGACTACGAGGATCAACCAGTGCTTTACAAAGGTGAAATCTCTGTGCCTTGAGATTTCAAAACTTGATCCGTAATCTCGGATCATCATCAAGGGCTTGAGATCCGAATACAATAGGTTCATGACGCCCATCAAAAGATGACAGACACAACCGACCCTTCTAGAGTTAGAAAGTCTACTGGCGAATCAAACGACATTGGACAACAAATATGTAAAAGACGAAGAGGAGGCGCTCTTTGCACGAAAGAAGATAAGAGGGATTGCTAAGACCCACAAAAAGAATGAGTGCTTCCAACAAAGGGTGGCTAGACGAGGCAATATCGATGACCAAGGAAACCCCGGCGAGACAACAAGTGCTACAATTGTGGCAAAAAGGGTCATTTTGCTCGTAAGTGATGGGAAGAAAATAAGGTGACTATGACAAGTCACCATGATGAGATCAAAGAAGATTCAAATACACATGCATCCTTCACAGTCACCGAAGAAACAGAACTGGCGAGTTCGGAACTAGCCGACTATCAATCAATTGATGCAGAGATAAGGCGATTAGAGGAACCTGAGGAGCTAGCTCTCATCGCAGTCTCCAACTTTGAAGACATCAATTACAATCAAGATTGGATTGTAGATTTAGGACGTTCAAACCATTTGACTAGAGGCACGGCCAAGTTCCTCAATCTAACTGAATACAAAGGAGGCAAAATCGTGGTTACTGCTAATAATACAAGGTTGTCGATCACCCACATTCAGAAAGGCTATTTGTATACCTCGACTGAATATAAGAGAGGCCCAATTGCAGGACGTGTACCATGTGCCAGGAATGAAAAAGAATTTATTGTCAGTATCTGTCACACCCCAAGATTTATAACATTGGAATCCCTGAGATGTAACAGTATATCTTTAATAAAACAAAATTTTTCTACTTCACCATTTATTGCACTAAAACATATTTTTCCATTTTTAAGAGTCTGTACAAAGTCTACTCATAACTAGTATTAACATGAAGGTTTAGATATACATCTGTTGATAGAACAAAATTTACAATAGTGAATTTGAACAAAGGTCACAAAGAGAAAATTTCATCATAACTATGACATCTTCCAAAGTTGGTCCTGTTGTGCCTTCAACTAGGGAGGCTGCAATTACCCTGAAAATTTTTTACCATAGTTTGATGAGTTTGGATACTCAGTAAGTGATCATCATAGTCCTCAAAAATAATCATATTCGGAAGATGTAAGCATTTTAAAAAAAAGAGGTCTATTAGAAACAATGCGAGCCAAAAAGCATTTATAGATAACAATTTCACTTTCAGAAATGCACAATTAAACATAATCCAAATGATTGAAATGTATATAAATATTTTAATAGCAATTCATAACTCAAAAGATTTCACAAAATACCCTACTGGCGTCCCAAGTAGGTCACCTATATACCCCACTAGCATCCTGGATGAGTCTAAACAATCCTTGCAGGTTCAAACATACCTCATCGACATCCCAGATGAGTCCAAATAGTCCCTACCGACGTAACCAGATAGGTCCAAACAATCCATGCAGGTCCAAACATACCTCACCGACGTCCTGATGAGTCCAAATAGTCCCTAGCGGCATAACCGGATAGGTCCAAACAATCCCTGTAGGTCCAAACGTACCTCACCAGCGGCCCTATCGGTGTCTCGGATAGGTCCACACATACTTAAATTATCTCAGAAACTCTGTAACATCAGAAAGCATCAACATCGTATATTCAAAGTATCATTGAATTCATTAACAGGAATTCACTTGAAGCAATTTAAACAATTACTTTCATTGAAATATTTGTAAGTATCCAATCAAACAATTTGGATAAAAATTGCAGAAAGGTAGCAGATCGAACATGTATATTTGAAATGGAATCCAATAGGCAGTCGATTATCAATTTAAGAGCTTTTATAGAAATCCAAGGTTAAACACATAAATATCACAATTTTATGGAATGTAATTTTATACTTAATAATTTTACAAGAATAGGTAAAACTTATAGTATCTAAAGTTCATAGACAAACAAAAATACAATTAAATGCAAAAATGCGTAAATCTCACAATATTGGCAGTATTATAATTAATTGTAGAAATATCAATTTTTTCACATAATGATTTTACCAGAAATGACATCACTTACACATAAATTTCACAGTGTCTAAAAGCCATAATAATAGGAAGAAATTTTATTTTTAATAATTTACAATGTCTAAATTTCTAATAAACAAAAATAATAATTTTAACAGAAAAAAAATGATACCATATGCGCATAAATTTACTGTATAAAAATGGTGAACATATTATTTTTTCAGGATAATGAGATCATTTACCTATAATATTTGAGAGGGAACTTTCGTTAAAATTCGGCTAGAGAGAAGGAGTTCACTACGTTCTTTAATTCACAGGCTCAAGGTTACTGAGAGGGAGGGGCGTAAGAGAGAGTGTTTTTGCAGAGAGATAATCCAACTCATTCTCCTCTTTTTAAACACAAAAAATGTATTATTATAATATATTATTAACCCACCTCTGGTGTTTAGAAGGTGGTAAAAAGAGCAAAAAAATTGATGGTCCCTAAGGACCAAATTATTTGTATGGACCATCAAAAGTAAAAAGTTTTTTTTTTTGAAGTTTAGGATTGTTACAGTATCACAACTAACAACAACTGGCAACTTCATTGTGTTTGGCTCAAATGATGTCAAAGTACATTGAAGCCTGAAGTTTCCAGACCAGCTGATTATGGAGGGCCAATGATTAGACTCTATCTACGTAGTGTCAGTAGAGTCATCTTATCTACAAAAGGCTTGAAGAAGTGAAACTGCTGATCTCTGACATGCTCGTCTAGGGCACATGAGCTTCAACTGGTTAAAGTTTATGATGGATCGATCAATAGTAAGGGGACTTCCTCTACTAAAGTCCAAACATATGATGTGTGTATGGGTTGCCAATTTGGCAAGGCTCATCAACAGCCATACACTGAATCAAACTACTAATCTAAAAGGCCGTTGGAGATTATTCACTTAAATGTATTTGGCCCAATAAAGTAACACTCGGTTAGAGGCATGAGGTATACGCTTACTTTCATCAATGACCATTTAAGGTGCATGTGGGTACACCTAATGAAGGAAAAAGTCAAAGGTCGTTGAAAAGTTCAAGGAATTCCGAACAAAAGTCCTAGGGGAGATTGGCCAGAAGATTCGGTGTCTATGCACTGACAATGGAGGAGAGTACACATCTTCTCAGCCAACCTAAGAAAGGATGGCATTCGACGCCAGCTAACCTGTCCCCACACCCACAGTAGAATGGAGTAGCCAAACGAAAGAATCGGCATCATGCTGAAACATGCAAAAGTATGTTGCATGCTAAAAATGTGCTTGGCAGATTTTGGGGTGAGTGTATGAAGACAATGACCCACATCATTAATCGGCTATCTCAACCAAAATTGGGATTCATCACACCATACGAGAGACTCTTGAAGATCAAAACCACTGTAAGTTATTTTAAAGTAGTTGGCTATACGTGCTATGTGCTTGTTCCATAAAATTTGTGTAGGAAACTAGAAAAAAAGATGGTATTAGTCTAAGTACCGTGATCCTCTTAAAAACCATCATAGGAGTTTAAGTGCCATCATACCCCAAAAGGCCATAACCATCATGGTATTGAGTCTATCGTGACGACTATTTTGGGTCACAACAACCCAAAAATTGAAGAAAAAAAAAAGTAGGAATAAGGTTTAAGAAAGTACAGAGTTTATTTTTTGTAAGGGTGCAGTTGGCATACGGATGCATCTGTAGCTGTAGAGGTAAGGTGCAACTTCAAATTTTATCATGGTATATAATTTTGATGTAAAATGTTTTTAAGATTATCTCAAAATCTATTTTTATATCTAATTATGAAATTTTAAATTTTAAAAATGGTTAAAATCAAGTAGATCTCTAAACAAATGAAAATCTTGAAAATGGACGGTGTAGATAATATGTTGTAACATGCACTATTTTTTAGAGTTAAAATCGTTTTATTTTTTATGGTCATACATCTCGATGTCGAGATGATTAATCAAAGGGTTTTTCAACATTAGAACTATTTTTTTCCAATGGATTTTTGAGGTGTATCCGTAGTTCTACATTATAAAGTTGCATCCTTATAAAAACTGTTTCCTGCAAATTTTCCCTTATTTTTACGTGGTCCCCAAATTTTTAGACTATTAAAATATTCTTTAAACAAATTTTTTGGGGAGCATAATAGCAAGGGTGCAGTTTCTATAACATTGCAATCTTAAATAATGCGTACCTTCAAATTTTATCATGTAATTTTATTGTAATTTTTTTTAAGATTATCTTAAAAACTATTTTCATATCTAATTAGAAAAATTTAATCTCCAAAAATAATAAAAATCAAGTAGATGTATAAATATATGAAAATTTAAAAAATAGACGGTCTAGATAATGTATTGTCTTAAAAATTCACGGTCTAAATAATGTGTTGCTTTGGGATTGAATTTTTATTTTTTTTTAATATTCATACATCTGATGTCTAGAAGATCTTTTCCAACATTATAACCGCCTTTCCGATAGTTTTTTTGAAATGCATCTGTGATTCTACTTGCGACCTTATATATTAACTTTTCCCTAATAGACATGCTCAGATTTGAATATAGTACGGACGTAATTTTCCAAAAATCTTAATCAAGAAAGGGAAATGAATAGATAGCACTGGAATACCAGAGTTTAGAAAGAGAGAGTCATGGCTTCTAAAGAAGTAGGTAGCGATGGAGAAGAAGTGATTACAGAGTACGAGAAGCAGAGGCTCATCAGAATACAGGAGAACAGAGCCAGGTTGGAGTCTCTAGGCCTGAAAAACCTTGCTTCTTCTCTCTCTAAAACCCAGCCCAAGAAAAATGTTAAAAAGAGGGCCCCCATCAAAACGAGTCATAAGGACGATGACTACATTCCCTCTGAGAATTCTACTGATGATGATGATGATGATGACGACGATGATGACCATGATTTTGATGAAGATAACTGTGTAAGTTTTTTAATCAGCAAATGTATTCAGTGTTTTATTTTGCATTTCTCTTATTTTTTGCTAATTTATTACGAATGAGTATTTATTGGGTTTAATTTCTTATTATTTGGGCTTATTTTTTTGGGTTATCCACAATGGAAAGGATGTTTTAAGGCCTTTATTTTATATTGTTGTATGGTGACCTTTTTTTATGGGGTTTGGATAAATACGGATGAGGTTTTGGTGTTCAATTTTGAAGTTCAATTGATTTTTGATGTGGGATTCATTGAAATTTGTGAGGAGTGATCAATTATTTTGTTATTTCTCAATCAGGGGTATCTGATATTAAAGAAAGTTTAAGATAAAGATGTGGGTAACCATTGAAGACCATGACTGGTTGCTCATCCAATGGTGAAAACATTTTACTGGTTTCAGTTTTTATTATTTATTTGCTTTGGGTATTGTTAATGGTGTGAGAGAAAGAGATTGTAGAACAGCGAATATGTTGTCTGGCCATTTACTTCTATTGTTGGTGAATTCTCCACCCTTCTCTATCATTTGTTATTGAGTAGAATCATGGGTGACCATGTTTGGGTCTTGGCATTAGGGTATGTCTAATGTGTTCAGAGTGGTTGAATTTAAGGGGTGGGGATGACTTTTCTTTATATCCTAGCTTTGTGACATTTATTAGGGACTAGGGTCTGAGGCATGGCCAATTAGGATATGATGTCAAGAGCTTGTTGTTTAGTTAGATTAGGGTCATAGTTAATAATAGCATGTAGTTCTTATTTTGGGGCTTAATTCCTTAGAAGTTAGCAGTTTGAGTCTTATTCAGAATGGAGTGAGATGTGGTATAAGGCTTCGGTTTTTGAGACTAACTTGAGGGGCATGGAAAAATGGGCTTAATGAGGAGTGCCTGGATTCAAAATTGAAAATAAAACATGGTGGGGGGCATCCTTGGAGTTTCTGGTTGAGGTCAAGAGCAGTAAGCTTGTTGTCCACCTTATTTCTCTATGATGTTCGAAATGTTTTTGTTTTGAATGTTACTGCTAGAGGGTTGGTAGGATCTTAGTTTAGGAATCTAAGCATGTGCTCCCTTAGACGGAGGACATCTATTTTATTTGGAAATGTTTAATGGGATTTTTTATTTGGATATATTTTGATGGCCTTTCATGCTTCCCAAAGTTTTCTACTAATTTAGATATCTAGGATCCTTAACTAATTTTCTTGTGGAATATGATAGTTTGAACATCGAGGAGCGTTGAGTTTTTTATCCACACAATTTCTCTATAAAGCTTGCAATATTTTTGTTTGGAAAAGTTTATATTAGAGCTGAGGCTCTAAACAATCGAATTTAAGTCGACCTCAAAAATTTCACTAGAAAAGGTTGTTTTGATGCACAAATATCCTCAAATGGATTATCTTGACATCAAGATGCATGGACATGAGAAAAAAAAGGATTTTAAGTTTTGGAACTAGTGCATGTTGTAACGCATTTTTGGATTGTCAATTTTGCAAGATTTTCAAGTTTTCATAGATCTGCTCGATTTACACAATTTTTGAAGCTTTACATTTTATAATTAAAGATGAAAATATATTTTAAGGCTATCACAAAAATTTTCAGTATTGAAACCACATTTCTCGACACTATTTGAAGGTGGGCTCTAATTTGATTATTTAGAGCCTCGGCTCTATACAAACGACACCCTTTTTGTTTTGAATGTTACTGCAAGAAATGAGGGTTGGTGGGATCTTAATTTACGAATCCTATGATCTTAATTTAAGAATCATACTTGTGCTTCCTGATCTTAATTTAGTTGGACTAAAACAGAATATATGGAATGCAAGTTTAGTAATAATAGGAGTAGAGAAGGGGAAGTAGTTAAGATTGATGGCCAAGAAGTACAAAAAGGATCGCACTTTTAATATCTTGGATCGATAATCCAGGAAGATGGAGAGATTGAGGAAGATCTCGTACATAGAATTAAAGCTGGGTGGGCGAAGTGGATATGTGCAAATGGAATTTTATGTGATTGCTGCATACTAATGAAGCTGAACGGCAAGTTCTAAAGGATAGCTATAAGACCAGCTTTGCTCTATGGGGTAGAATGTTGGGTGGACAAAAAATTTAATATACCCATAAAATAAGTGTAGCAGAGATTGGGATGTTGAGATGGATGAGTGGCAAGCTAAGAAGGGATAGAATTCGAAATGAATCCATCCAGAAAAATTTAAGAGTGGCATGAATAGGAAATAAGATGAGAGAGTAGACTTGGGCTAGTCATGTATGGTGCCCACTCAGTACAACACCTATTAGAAGGTGTGAGTTAGTTCAAGTGGAAGGATTGAAAAGGGTAAGGGATAGGCCTAAAATGACATGGTTGAAAGGAGTTCGAAAAGATATGGGGACTTTTGGCCTCATTGAGGGTATGACCTTTAATAGAGCAGAATGACGGACTAGGATTCATGTATCTGACTCCAATTAATTGGGAAAAGGCCATGATGATGATGATGATGACTTGTGCTTTCTGAGACAGATCATCTATTTTATCTTGAGATATTTATGGGCTTTCATACTTTCCAATATTTCTAGAATCCTTCACTATTTTTGGGTTGAATATACTTGTATGTTGTTTGACTTTTTTTTTTGAATATGTTAACTCTATATTAACTAAAAGAAGTACAAAGAAAATGAGATGGTGTGGATACCAATGCATGGGTTCCGCCCAAAAAACTATTATTGGGGCTGGGTTTGCAGAGGTTCTCTATGATTGTTATGTTATTTATTGGTTGCACAAACCTTGTAATTAGGGCCACTCCTGCTCTTAAATCCTTTCGCTCTCAAAATTTATTCCTTAGTTCCTTCTTGCACCAATCTATCTCAGTACTAATTTTCCATTTTTCTCATCTTTTACATCGTTTAATGCATGCCTATGTCGTTTTTAGTATTGGAAGCTTTGCCTACCTAGAGCATGAAATATATGTCATCCTTCAATGACTGAAATGTGTGCTTGTCTCTGGAAGAGTTTAGATTGCAATTCATGTGGTGGAGTTATGGTCCTTCAAACATACTGATTATTATTGACTATTTCAAGCTTTTAGCTATTTTTGTGACTTTGCATGGATGGCAGCTCCCTCAAATTTTATCGAGGATAATGCTTAATCTTTCTCTTTGAGGGGGACTCATTCTCTTAGATTAATGCTTCAGTCAGATCAACCAGATCCATTTAAGGCCTTCCCCTTTCCTCAGCCTCACTGGTTTCAGATCTTGGATTCCATGTCATATGACCTTAATATTTGCTTAAATCCTTGAAAATGTCAGAACCAACCTCACCCTTTATGTTTCTGCTCATGTGGATTTCTCGACTTGGTGGCAAGATGGTGCTCGGGTTATGATGATCCATAGGTAGTTTCAAGGGCATAGTTTTGCTGTTTTAGTGTAAATTGGTAGAACCAGTGGTTTAAAAAACGGATCGGTGACCCGGATTGGGCACCTCAAAAACCCACCCGGATCGGTGAATCGGCGATCTGGATCAAGAATCGGCCGAATCGGTTGGATTAAGACTTAAAAAAAATCCAAAAAAATTATTAAAATGCATTGTAAATGTTGTTTTTTAGGAATCCAATAAGAAATAGGGGTACTACATTATCATTTCATTTTTTTTCATCAATTTGCGAATATTGAGATGTTCTTTCCTTGTTTGAACTTATGTTAACCATTAAATTTGCATTACATAAAAGAAAAATCATAGAATCATCATTGATAAAATATATAATCATACATGGACTACAATAAAGTATGGATTAAATTGATGAAAAAATGGCCACTAAAATCTCGAATTATTGTATTATCTTTTATTTTATTTTTTCTTTTTATTTTTTTGATGACATTATTTTCTTCATTTTATTTTTTTTAGAAGATAAATTGTTTTTTGACAAGAAATGCTTGTTGTATTATCTTTTATTTTAATTTTTTTCTTTTATTTTTTTGATGATATTATTATTTTCCTTTTATTTTTTTTGGAAGATTAAAATAAATTTTTTTTTTCTTTTTTTTATGACATTATTTTCTTCCTCTTTATTTTTTTTCATGACATTATTTTCTTCATTTATATTATTTTTTTTCCTTTTATTTTTTTGATGATATTATTATTGGCCTGATATTTTTTTTAGAAGATAAAAATAGAATGTTTGTTTTCCTTTTTTTATGACATTATTTTCTTCCACTTTATTTTTTTTTATGACATTATTTTCTTTCTTGATATTACTTTTTATGATATTATTTAAGACAAAAATAAAACACAAAAGTAAAACATAATTTTTTTGTGACATTATTTGACAACAGAAAAACTATTTTTTATGATATTTGACAAAAAGGAAAAAAGTTAATGCCATGGAGGTTCAAACCTGAGACCTCTTGTATAGAAATCCAACGTGATAACCAACTCCCCGCTGCACCACATTTAGCATATTACGTTATAATGAATCAATATATTGATTTAACATCTCAACATTGGGCATTGAGAATTGTCCCACATCGAAGAAAGGTGAGACAGACCTTGAGTATATAAACAATTGAACCATCAGCTCTTCCAAATGATATGCTGGGATGGGAACCATGTGCGGTGCACATAAGATTTTTGCACACGCGCGACGCATGCGAGATGTATTCACATGTACGACACATGCGAGATGTATTCACACGTGCGGAGCATGGTGATGTCAGCCACAACAGATCTTGTAATGTCATACTGGCGAGAACTGCTGGTTTATGACATCATGAGGGTGGTTCACTGCTCAGAACTGGTGATTCTACTCTAGAACCGGGCGATTCCCGGTTTTATACAAAAATCGGCACGGGGTCACCGATTCCCGTGTTGACTTGGGCGAGTCCGTTGTGACTCGCCGATTTTTAAACCACTGGGTAGAACTAATTTCACCTGACTAGCGTTTTTGTCCTTAAGAACTCACAAGATAGATTGAGATGGCCTGACAAATCATACCACGAGGAATTGGGGCAGGGCTTCACCTAAGGAGAGGATACATGAACAGGAGCTGTTGAATTTTGATGTCATTTCTAATTCTCTTAGCCCTTAAGTCTTTTTGAGTGTGGTTTGACATTGGGATACCAGGCCAAATTGCTGGTCAGAAGCCATACAAAACTATCAAGAGGCCCTTCATACTTATTAGAAATAGGGAATCTGTGTCGGGCCAAATGGCTGGTCAGAAGCCATACAAAACTATCAAGAGGCCCTTCATACTTATTAGAAATAAGGAATCCATGCATCTAACATCAATCACTTCTAAGCAGGTTCATATGAAGGATGGATGGGCCTTGTTTGGGGTTATGGTGGATCATGGAGCCTTTGGTTGTCTGGGAGATGGATGAGTATCTTTTTCGTTGCTGATCTTGTTATGGCATATGACTGGGTTGACCGCGTTTTCTTCACTTCATATTGAGACTTGGTTTTTCTTGCCGTATTCTGCCTAAGAAACACCTGTAAAAGGGTTTCCTCACCTAATCTGAGGCTTCCACACCTTGATATCATGAAACTTATAAAGTTTGTATTGCTGCTGTTAGATATATTTGAGCTGGTTTTTGGGAGTTAAGTGATATTTGGGCTTCTGCAAAGTTGACCCATAAGAATAGTTCTTGCATGTCTGCTGCGCCTTCTGTAGTTTCTGTTATTAGTTACAACCTTGAAATAGAGATTTTTTTTATGTTTCAGGTAATGAAGATGAGTTCTCGTAAGGCTCAAAAACCCCAAAAGAAAGTACGGTCTCGAAGAGATGTTCAAGGTAACTTAGATGATGACGATGCTTTGCAGCAGGTGGGTTGCCATAGATACTTCTATCACAATAATTACATTTCCAAAATTCCCGTCTCCAATTGCGTTAATTTTTCCTGGGAATGTTTATCTTTCATGGTGCAATGGGCAATGGCAAGGTATATGGTACTCAAGGCTACATCCACCATCTGTTTCCACTGATGAATGGCTGGAGATAAACTGCACCCAGGTTCTATGGGAGTTAATATCCAACCATCCATTAGTAGAAACAGATAGTCGCTTTAGCTTTGGTGCACCACGTACCATACCTCAGAGCCTAATGGATCCATTGATATATCCTTAGCTCACAAGCCTTGGAGTACCTTGTACTGTATATCGACAGATTATGATTTATCCTGACTACATGTATTGTGTATCAAAACCTCCTATTGGATTATGATATTCCTTTTTCTGCTTTTGAGCTTTTCAATTAGAGCTTTGATGATTCCTAGTCATATTTGCAGTTCACTTGAATTCATACACAGGCAATTGCTCTCTCATTAGGAGGCATTCAAGTGAGTTCCAATGCAACAGATAGTGGTTCCCAGCAAAAACTAGAAACAGTTATGGCTGACAATATCCATGGATGCAAAAAAGATACTCCAAAGCATACACATAGTGGAAGGAGAAGGAAAAGAACAGAGGTGAGAGAGTCGATCTCTGTTACATCTTGGTTTTGCCTTCTTTTGTCCCATTAGAAGCCCCTCTTTGCCAAATCGCAATCTCTTCTCAAGACAATATGGTCTGTTTATTCATTGTTTGTGCAGAACAGGAGCAGAGTACAAATTACTGAGGATGAATTAGTTGGTTACTTTTTCACTATAGATGGTACTCTCTCTCTC